CTTACGTATTGTTCTAATTTTTCTCCGTCCATCTTCCATGCATTCAGAACCCAGTTCGATTCCTTGTTGAATAACAGCTTCCCCAGGAACCACATCTAAAAATGGAAATACGAGATCGCTACTTAGAAAAAATATCTGGGAAAATACTGGTATATATACTCGTCTGAATCGTCATTATAATTATGCAATATACATATTTCATAAAATGTAACTATACGTATGATCTGTCGACCTAATTTAAAACACGATAAACAAATTTAGGATGCTTCTCATAAAATTTAAATTAAACAGTTTACCTACTCTATAGCATTATGGCTCACTTTCTCATCTTACCCAAAGGATATAATATGAACATACCATCATGAATCGAAGAGACACTGTTTGATTTTCCGGGTATTGGATGGTAAATACCATTGATGGGATGTGCGGTATTCTAAAATAATAATAGTTACCCCAAATTAATCATTTATATAAAAAAATATTCTCATTTTTATTCAACTAAGGTCTAGAACTGAGTAAATTCGGAGAAGTATTTTAGTAGGTTAGAAAATATTCTATTTGTAATTCTTGCTAAAAAATTGCGTATTTTGCAAGAGTGCAAAAACGTCGGTTACACGCTGTCGGTATTTAAGTCATTATTTTAATTTTTTTAACACATGTTCATTACTTTAGGATAACTCTTTCACCGTAATATAAATCAGGCCAATTTCTACTCGCATTATCAAACTACGATTGATATAATGTCAACAATCAAATGAAAAACAACTTGTTTGAGCGTTTTTTGATCTAATGTGCCAAAATAAATTTAAGTTTAAAAAATTGTACCATTTTATTGTAGTTTTCAAATGCATTTTGATACAGATCTGAATCATTTGTTACTTTCAGTAACACCATATAATTTTTACCCAATTTATTTTCAATATTTACTATTTACCAGGCTTTCGTCTTTGTGTAATTATTGTTACACTTTTGCAAGTTTGCCTGTCCATAATACTGTTCGATATTATTAGTCAAGTTGTCAGTTTAACAAAATCTTTCAAAATAAAATATGGTTAAGTAATTAAAACAAAGGCAACTGATTAGTTTTAAAAAATAAAGGAAAAACTACATTTACAATAGAAACTAACCTTTGCAATTTGAAGCAGGACTATGGAATGCTTGATGTTATCCAGCATTACCTGTAAAAATATATTCTCACAATATAAATATATAATATCGTCATTGCTAATGAATTATAGCATTTTAGGATTTTTGTAAGCTTTTATCTTATTATTTTCAAAACCTTTTTCCGGGGGTACGCCTCCGGAGTACAATCGCATCAACCGTATCATCATCGTACAAACGTATCAAAAGATCCCTCAAAGATCGGAAAAAAATCCCGTTTATTTAGAATTATCGGACACAAAAAAGTTTTCAATTGTATGTCAATTATGGTTCGTGAAATAAAACAGAGTAATTGGGTTGGTAAAAAGATAATTTATAAAACTTACATTTGCATGCTCCAAGATTGTCTCGCATTTCGTCTTTTCATCAAGGTCGGTGAATGAAATTATTCTCTCTTCCAATTGCTGGAAAAAATAAATATAATTGGTGTTGAGTTTATTGGCGAACGCGATAATTGCTGAAAGCCGAGGTGCTTGGATTAATCGTTCAATCTATTAATCTTTCCACAAAATACACAAAACTAAAACTTATATTTATTGCGAAACTAAGTATATTGCTAACCTTAGTTTGTTCAATCATAAGTTGTAGATATGCATCAGCTTCCGAAACTTTATTATCCAGATCCTTAATTGTAGGCGACACATGAAATGAATCCCACTTTGTCTGAAAAAAAAACATTACCATTTAATTACTTTTTTTGACCTATTAAAATCTATCAACTTAAAAATAAAAATTCTGAAAATTAGAATATCCACCTATAAATGATTTTTGTTTGAAAATGTTTTGATATGTGAGGAGACTAAAATGTTATATTCATTTAGTTTTATATATTTTTTCATTTAGTTTTATGAATTAGCGGTGCAAAAACTATATTGCCATGATATGTTTATATATATCTCAACGGCAAGTAGCAGAAACAATGATAAATATACAAACTTGTGTCTTAAACAGTGAAATTAAGGACACCTACTCGACTGGCATGTCTAATAATCGTGTCTTCCAACGCTTGCACCCATTTATGCCGTTCTTCGGCATCCCTTGCTTGAAAATGAAATGTTTTGTGATCGACTGTAATGGTGAAAGTGCTGTCATCTTCATCATCGATTCCTATTATAGCACCTTTTAATCGAACACATCCCCTTCGAACTCCTCGCATCATTTTTTCTTTTGACTGAAACAAAAATATTCATATAAAAAACGGTGACTTCTTTACGCTGTAACATAAATGTAGTTGCTAGCTCCACTTCAGCTCGATTTCTCTTGTAATTCAGATATACTTTTGGGACTGTTTCTGCAAAACATTGGATATGGCTAACTAAATTTTAATATTCATTCAAGGACTACCATTAATCTCGCATGTTATCTTGCGAGGAATCAGTGATTGGTGAATAATGGAATGATGAATAATTTGGAAGACATTAAAAGCTCAGCTCAATACTGAGATAAATGAATAAACTGAAACAAACATTAAAAAAACAATTAGAAGTAATGTTTGCCAAACAAGGAAATATTTAAAGACTAAACTGGAACCATTTCTAGATTATTAATTTACGTCTAATACAAGTAAAATATACAATATCCACCAGATTAATATTCAAGTCTAAAAGGGCTGCACCTTACCACTACCTAGTGATCAATTACAACCAACTCCATGAATTCAACTCTCCCACCCCGAACATACGAAAGTTTAATTTTTCAAAATAAAAGCGCAGTTTTGTAATGTGCGTTAATATTAATAATTTATATGCTTCATTTGCATTATAGAAAAATGTACAGGAGTATATATATATATATATAAATACTATACTTTCCTAATAAAAGCTCTCTTAGAGGATGGTTTCGTGTTAGTTGTGCAGCTTAGCTTGATCACTAATATAGTTTATCGAAATATTATACTACTTTCGTAATAAGCATATTAAATAATTTATTTCTAAGTGCAGATAGTGATACATTTATAAAAATGGCCAACATAACATTAACAGTAGCTCACTACATTAACGACCACATCCAAAGAATAGGAGGCTAGTTTTTGGTCCAACGTAATGAATTTTTATTAAATAACAATTATTAATCTGCCATTTTTCGAATGGATTTTCCTATAAATTGATAATTTACAATGAGTAAATATTGTACATTGCAATTTGTTTACACACAAGTCTTGGCAGCCCTGTAAATTACACTGAGCGAATGTAACTGCAATGGAATTAAGTTTAGCTAGTCAAATTTATTTTTAAGCAATCATCAGTGAAGATTTAAATAGCTAAAGCTATTATCGTTTTAATCACTTTATCCACGGAACTTGAATGAAGGTAAACTTAGTCCGGAAATATGCTTTTATACAAAATCTTATGATATCTTTGATATGATGACATGACATCATACAATGATGTGTGATTCTAAAATATTCTAATCAATGAAAAGTTCCCAGATTCTAAAAAATATACATTTTATACATTTTTTGTTTGGCGCATTTATACTTTAGATCCAAGAGTAGCCGATTTATTTCTAATGGAGAATCCATGGCCAACAGTAAGAATCGTTCTATTGTATTCTGTTCTATACATTACATACATACATTAAACCCTTATATTTATCCAGGTAGAAATGTTTAGTAACTGCGTCGATTGATCGTCTGCGATTCTAATAACATCTCAACTTTGCATTTGAGGTTGCAAAAACATCGTTTTATTTGAAATTAGCATATCATTTTGTACACATTTCCGAGATCGCTATTCTTTTTTCCAATTTCAATTATTTTAATGCATCCGAAATTAAAAACGTGTTTAAATTGTATGTTAAAGAACTTATTCATTAGCAGACAGCAAGTCGAATGGGTGATTGCTTGTAACCTTATAAATTACCCTTTATTTACGCCTATATTGTTCATGACATTACATTTTCACAATTATACAAAACGCAAGTACTCAGTAATTTAAAATATCCACTTGTCTGTAACCTGCAAAATTATATATATCTCAATTAATTTCATTATCATACTATTCATACTAGAGTGCTACGTTACGTCCTATGTGTAATTTTTTAATTACTGTTAATTAACTTATTTCAATAGTCGATTTGACAGAATACATATTCACATTAGAAAAAAACACTCGCTCATCTGAATAATCAGGAATCGAATTAGTGCAATTATTATTCAAATCCACACTTTTTTCTGCATAAATTTGAACTTTTTAAACTCTCAGATTCTACTTTATTTACTTAGTTAATTTGACGATATATTCATTGTACAAGGGGTTTACAGCCATTAATTCTAAACGATATAACTCACAACGTATTCTTTTTGTAAAAAGATTTACGTTTGGATTTGTTTCCATATATAATCTAGATTATTGCTTCAGCTGTAGAATAATTTTCTCTTTATCCCTTCTAAAAAGCAATGAGCCGTAAAAATGTACGATACAACCTTATCGGAATTTTTCATGTATGAACATTGTACCTATCAAGCATAAACAATTTAAATAGCTAAAATAGCTGCTGGTGACATGTACGAAAAACTCCTTACAAAACTTCGACGTTTATAAAACTACATGCGTACATTATGGGCTTAGTTACAAGTTTTTCGAAGGTAAACGCGTAATGAGAATTAAACAAGCATGTTAAATAGATCATTCCTGCTCACTATGAAGAGAAGAGTATAAGAAGATATAAAACTAATAAATTAAGTACATATAACGTAAAAAAAACTCGGCAAATATTTAGTTGACTAAGAATTATTTGATTGAAGTTCAGATACAACTCATAGGTAACAAATAATGGATGCGAATAATAAATTAATTCAGACCTTGCGTTAATTTTGGGCCACTCTTTCGATGTCAACTTTTGTAGTTAATGGTGAAAAAATTATAGTTGTTTCAGTTAATTGAGAAAAAAATATATTTACCTACTGTTTAAGGAATTTAACATTCATCAGTTTTGTGCTTATGAAAATCAAGATCTATCATTTGGAACAGAAGGCAGCAAAATTTACATAATAGTGAAAACGGAAAACTCGAATTTGTACTCAAATAAAGTGTTTTTTGTTTATCTAAAGCAAACATCTCAAAAAATACTTTGATTAATAACGACTATTGCCCAAACCCAAACTAAAATATTTTACAACCATCGATTTTTCATCCACCATTCGAAACCATGATATTTCTATCATTAATGTTATTTTTGATTTGCTGACTTCTCAGGCGAATCATTATCGAATGTTTAAGAGACATTCTGTATATGAAAAAACATCCATATTGCACTCGTTTGTCCGACGTCATCAATTAAAAATGTATCCATCGCTTTGGTACATGCTCGACATAGTGAACAACCATATAAACTAAGTACGTTTACGAAACATTATTCATCCATTAAATAAAAATGAGAAGGCGTTTAACTCATGTTTGAGGCAAATTATCCGTGCTGTTATGCTGCAAATATGCTGCACTCGGTGAATATCATGCTCGGAAGGTTTAACAAAGTGGTTTAGAACCAATAACAAATAAAAAAAATCCAAAACTTTCTAGTTTTCAATTCCCGTATTTAATAAACAATAATTTTCCATTCAGTCCCATATCATTGAATCACATTAACCGTCGTTATTCAGTCGAATAAAATGCAACATTTACATAACACTCAGCTGCGCCTGAGTATTAGTTTTTCTAAGTATGATTTTTTTCTCGTGGATTGAAAGCATGTTAATCACCTTAAATAAATAATTAATTACATAAGCTATTATAATTGGCAAAAGTGAATTTTTCCTAGACTTGCACTGTTTTCATTACAGCTAAGATACAAAAAAGCACTCCCAGTTCGAATAAAATGCGGTATTTTATCTTCAAATAGTCAATAATGTCAGACGAAATAAGTGTTTTTGATTTAGGTAATTGATTTATGCACAATGAATTACCTTGAAGGTGTTTATCTCTCTCACAGTCAAAAAACAAATAACTAACTTTTTCCGCCGAGATATATTTTAACAAAATTAGTAAAAGTAAAAGTATATAGAGACCAATTTTAATTCCCAAAATTTATTTTTTTGTTGCGTACGCCAAAAGTTAATGCGTTTAAAATAAGCAATATCTAGAAATTTTCAATGTTAACCGTAACTGGACTGTTGGTGACAAATTGACAATGAAGATATAAATTGCATTTCAGAAAAACTTAAATTTACTAGCTTACCAATAGGATGCAATACAGATATCCAGTTTGTTAAATGACTGCAAAGTCGGGGTTAAACAACAATCAATTGAAAAAATTCAATTGAAATCGTTGCAAATTTATTTGTTTCTGTTTTTTTGTTTTGTTTAGAATAAGTAGGTACTATAAAGAAATTATTTCAATTTTTGTTGGCTTCAGTGCAAATGGCAACTTGACTAGTTAATTAAATGTATGTACCTTGTAACTTGTAAAAGTACTACCTATGTCTGAGATAAGACAAAAAAAGACCTATAACTACATATGTTAACAATGTTCTTGGCTAATATTTAAAGCCACAAACCTGTTTACACTTTAAATTGGGGTTATCTGGCTTGGACTTTAATATTTATTTTGTGATTTTTCTTTTGTTGGTTTGGTGCATTTTCGGTGCATCATTAAGTTACCACAAACTATACATTCATGTGAAGTGAATATTGTACGGAAACAGTATCACCCATGCAAATAAAATCGTGTAGAAACAGCCCCATTTGTGAGACTTCTTCATTTGTAGGTTACGGAAGTCAGAGAGCAACAATTGCACTTACCGTATAATAGGAGAGTAATCCAGAGTTGTCGTCTAGCACGAACCACCGGTATTGCCATCCTTTCATAACATTGGTCCATTTACTTAGAGAACCTTCCATTACTGCCATGTTACATTAAAATTATTATAAATTAGCAAGTGCCTCGCATAACATACTCAAAATAGTTTGTGTTTGCTAAATAAACGTCAGCCAAATGTCAACAGTCAACACCGCCATTATAAATTTGTCACATTGATCCAATCAAGCTTTAGAGGATTCATTTATTACCCCCAACAAGATCACATCTTTTTTCTCAGCTACGGCCCATGATGAGGAAAAGAGACAGCTAGATGCCTAGTTCGAATTGGCTTATGAGAATCGTCTGACGGTGTATTGTTGGTTGACGGTCGGCTTATATAAGGTCTATTTCAAAAGTGCACCGTTTTTTTTTAATCTAAGTTTTCAAAATTATTGAAAAAAGTTGTAATTTGGTAGTGACGGTGATATTAATTAGTAAACCATGTCCTTTGATACTTCGGACAGCATTATATTTTGCTGCGAAATGATTGCGTTATTAATAAAAAAATAAACGGGAAGCAGGGACAAAAGTAAAATCAAACATAAGAGGCAAAGAAGAAACACAATATTGTTTAGCAAAAATGTGGAAAAATTATTTACAGTGAACACCCAAAGAAAGGAAAACTTAGAAATTAATCTTGAGTATCTTAGAGAATCGCATTCACAACTTATAAGTTCACATTTCTCTAAATGCTATAAAGCTCTACATTTACTTGTTACCTTTCATTCGTGATTGCAGCCTCAAGTATTTGATTAAGTTTAAGTAAATTATAGTCTATCAATCCTGTGCCTAAATGATAAAGTTAACTACTTGCAAAGGTTTCGGTTTTTGCAAATATCTCAGAATCAAGCGAGCGAAACTGCAAATAATTTTTTTTTGTTGTCCCTAAAGATTCATCTACACCTCGTTCCGAATGGTGATGTTAACTCTTAATAACCCTGTTGTGTGTAATAATGAGATCCGTTTTTTCAAAAGTTCATACGCGAACTATTTCGTGTTATAACATAACATAACATAACATATATTATAATGAAAGTGATTTTATTTATTAAATTATTAACATCGAAAAAGTTGTGGATTTGAAACAACATTACCTATACCTGCCGAATGATGCTAAAATAGCTGCGGATATTTAGAGAATACTTACAGCAAATTTAGTTTTCATTCTTATCGTTAATTTTAATTCTTACTTGCGAAAACAAGATATCATGGCAAAATTAATTTGCACTCAATCTCGAAAAATTGACATTCTCGTCTTTTTGGTAAGTTTATAGCCAATTTGGATGGACTCTCAACTTGATTGTAGCAACAGTTATTTGAGACAAAGAGCTAAAAAACGTTGAACCATCTGAAGGAATTTCAGTTTTTTTACTTTGATTTGCTCTTTTAGGAAAATCAGAGGAATAAAATGCTAATTTTAGCATTGAATTTTTAGCAGTATGCACCGCCATTAGTAACGAAAAATATTATATGAAATATTAAAGCATTTTGTTCCAAATCAATTAAAAAGGTGACTGCGGGAGCAAAATATATTACATATAGATACTGATAGCAAGCATGTGCAATCACGATTAGATCCGATGAAAGATATGCTATGTTCCAAGATCTCCTGGATGTACCTCTGAGAATGATGATCTCTCTTGAATTATTACCAGATTCGTTCAGACCTCCAAATAAATTCCCCCCCAAAACCCCAGTATTGAGCCAACACGGAAAGCCAGTTGTTAAACCATGCATGCTCTATTGTATCTTCCTCCTGATTCTCTTCAGATTAATACTTGGGTATCGGAATATTTTAATCCCACTGTGACCTTCCTTGGGCACTTGACCAAAAAATCCTAACTTGCTTGTGGGGTATGGTTAAGAAAGGATCTTTTGCGACGCATTTGCATGCAACATATTTCATTTAATCCGAATTTATCAAGCTTCTTACTGTTTTGGAGAAAATTGCAACATTTCGGGCACTTTGAATTCTTTTTTTATTTTATCTCATTTCCGGTAAAAACCCGATTTTTTTTAAACTCACAGTTTTATAAAACGCTGGTCCATTTGGTTTGAGGAGCAAAAGGTCCTGCAAAAAGTAGTAAGGCGTTGAACTTCCGAGTAATGGCTGGTAAAAGCCCAATTATTTAAATAAACTAATTCAAAACACATGCATTAGCCAATCAAAATTAGATACGTATAAATACATAAAAGGGATGTTTATTGATTTTGTTCAAAATTCGATTATAAGTTCGGATTTCTACTAGTAAACCGCTGCGGTGCTTTTAATGGATTTGGGTCTGTGTCGAATTTATAGCTAGGCGATTTGCAACACGTGAAATTTTTTTAAATTTACTAAAAAAATGCGCAATTTTCGTAATTTGTTAGACCTAGTCTATTAACCCAATAATGCAAAATATCAGTTTTCAAATTTCATATTTCATAATTAAATACGTTTGTTGTATAAAGAAAGTTCATGCACAAGCCATACAGGAAAACGTTTTTATTTACATAAAGATTTATTTATAAAAGTAATACATTCTATATACATGTTACATAATCATAAATGTACCAATAGAGCTCAATAAGCACATTTTGAATACATTTTTTAAAGGCAACTGTTATGGAAAAATAACAAAATCAACTTTTCAAACTGCACTGATATATTATTATATTAATCAACCACATCTAGAAGATGAATGAAATGAGGCAAAGTTTTTTATAAATAAATTATATTTGACTACTCACTTCTCAGTTGCCCTTCTAATAACGAAATCATAAAATTATTGAAATATGTTATTAAATTGAGCTTTCAAGTATATTGAAATAGAGGCAATTCTGCAAAGCAAAAATCTAAATTTTTCTAAACATTATTTTACTACTTACAGTTACTTTAAATTTTCTTTTGAAATAAGATTTTCGACTCTGCAGACAGTAACTGATGAATACAGTATATTCTGCTCAAGACCTAAAAATAAACAAAACGGTATTTGCTACTCATTAACAATGGCAATTAGACCACTTTGTTTAGTTTGCCATAGGTCTGGGGTTAAATATGGAATTACATAGCTGATTGTTCACCACTCACTAATATTCTATCAAGCATCTTATTATCTATCAATAGAAAAGTATAAAAAACAATATACAGGCAGTGTTTTGTACAATAATTTATTAATTCGAAACATCATATGAAAAATACAGAATTTTTATAGTTCTAATGAGCCTTTTGATTCGCCGTAGTTTCCGAACTTTTCGCAGCTTGACCATTACTCAGATCATCCGAAGAGTTTGCTTCAGCAGCTTCAACAAAAGCTGAAGATAGTTCGCCGCTCAATTTACTGACGTTGTTTGTGGTTAAGTCGTACATAAAAATTTCTTTTTCTTGTTCTGGTCCTTTAGAGCTGAAAAAAAAATGAAATCTTAATATACGCCGGTGCCAAATACATAAATTAACATATTGTTTCAATTGCATCTCAACTTTGCAACCTTCAATCTACTAACATTTTTAGTTAATATCGCGCCTTCAATTGGAATTGAGAAAAACTACAGGAAGTTTATCTGAGAATGACTTTCCGCTAAACACAGCTTTTTAATATCTGCAGCCTAATTTTTCCCAATTTTTTACACTAATCGGAAAATATTTTAGAGCTGGGTTTTCGTACCTGGATTGAAAATTTTCTAAGAGAACTGCAGCTAATTAAAATCATGAAACTCAATTTCTATTTTTATATGATGATGAAAAATATCACCATCGAGCTATTTTCAATCAAACTTGTCGCCAATTCTAAAGATTTAATTACTGTGAACATTAATGTGTTTTCACATTTTCTCAAAAATAATGATACCTAAAACTATTCGATAACAGTTTAACAACAAAAATAATTTTACTTTGATTAAAAATGATCACCAACTAAGTAAATTACAATACCAAGAAGTTGTTTAGAATTCCACAGTCAAATATCAAATTGCGGTTGCTGCATATTTTTCCATAGTTATAATGGTATAAGAATTCGCATCTGAAGAAACTTTTTTCAGAGACTATAATTTCAACTTGTAATCTGCTATTAAATAAATGGTTTGAATTTTTTCATTAGTTATTACAAATTATTATATTGAAACTGATTATTGCAAATTGCCTTTAAGACCATTATTACGACTGAATAAAACCAAACGCATGAGAATATTTATATCTTGTCTGGATTTGTAATGGATTTCAAAAATGTATGCTATGTAGCAAAATAATCGAAATATTTTTAATTAGATCTTGTTGCAAAAACTCGATGTAGTAAAACAGAAAACGTAATATTGTGTGCTCAAAATTAATGAAACGCCGTTTTTTAGTTGTGTAAGTTTCTGTGCAATCGAATTATTCAGTATTCGCTGACACTTTCTAAAATCAAGCAATACATTAAGTTCAGTTAAATTATCAGCTATTTAACAGAATATAGACCTAAATATATCAATAAAATGGAATTTTATTTATTTTTTTACTCGCCTTATGCGATATAGTCCATTTCATGCTTCAATTTTGTCAAAGTTTAATGTACTTATTTACAGACAAATCTTTTAATAAAATAGTTGAAGACAGCAATACTGTGTATTTCCAGCAATTACGAACATTACAACAATTCTAGGGAGTGTTCGATATCTAAATAGACAAATTGCGTTGTTTCATTTGATTAATTTATTATTTTAAAAAGCTAGTTAGGTAGTATCAGAAAAAACATTAAAATGCATTTTATATTTTACGTTATTCTAAAAGGTCTATGCCAGATACCATTAAAATTACAATACAAGCAACAAAGAAATGGTTTATAAACATATTTTAATTACACTAATTTCTGGAAAAATTATTCTCAAGCCTGTAAATTAATAATTTAAAAAAATAAAAAACCCATAAACTTTGAAACTACTTATTTGATGGCATTACAGAAAAGTTTAAAACCTGAAAGTTGGGAATTATTTGTTGCAAAAAAATTTCATAAAAACAAACTGAATACCATTTATAGCTAAACAAACTTGTTTGGTTTTTAAACGATTCAATTGTAAAATATGATGCTATTTTCACATGAACGTGAAGATTTGGTTTGGGATGTTGAAATCATTAATTTTCAAGTGTTTTGGTGACAAAGTACCAAATGAACCATTCAAGTTATATAAGTTATTATTGAAGTATATATTATAAACTACTTCAGTTAGAGGCCTTAAGGTA